GTCCCTGCCCCAGGGGGTGGCAGTGGAACAGTGATAGTGATGGTGATGTCCCACAGACCATCCCTGCCATCCTGCGTGGCCGGGATGTGGTGGCGATGGCACGGACGGGCAGTGGGAAGACAGCCTGCTTCCTCATCCCCATGTTCGAGCGGCTGAAGGCACCCAGCCAGGCCGGGGCACGCGCCCTCATCCTCTCACCCACCCGGGAGCTGGCCCTGCAGACCCTCAAGTTCACCAAGGAGGTACAGGGGACATGGGGGTGAGTGGGAACAACAGGGGCAATGGGTTTGGTTCTATGTTCCACCAATATGTTTCTCCCTTTCCCTGCAGCTGGGCAAGTTCACCGGTTTGAAGACAGCCCTGATCCTGGGAGGAGACAAGTAAGCTGTCCCCATGTCCCTTCCAATCCCTGCTTCCCTGAGCCTCCCCAAAACCTGGTGAGGGTCTGAGCTGCCCAGTGCCACCCCAGTCTCTTCCCCTCTCTCACAGGATGGAGGACCAGTTTGCTGCCCTGCATGAGAACCCCGACATGTGAGTAGGGCACAGGGAGGGGACCCAGTGGGGAAATGGCCACCGGCCATCTGTAGCCATCACTGGTGTTTAGAGCCAGTGTGCCTGATGGGTATTCCTGGAGTTCCCTTGGAACAACTTCCCATGGCCTCTATTGTGTCATCTTTGGGTTGGATTTGTAACTTGCTCCCAGGATGGCTTGGGGACACTGTCTCCCCCTCAGCCTGGTCCTGTCCCCACCTCTGTCCCCACAGAATCATAGCCACCCCTGGGCGCCTGGTGCACGTGGCAGTGGAGATGAAGCTGAAGCTGCACACCGTGGAGTACGTGGTGTTCGACGAGGCCGACAGGTCAGCAGGGAACGGGGCATCCCCAGGGCTGACAGTGTCCCCACGTGTGTGAGAGGCCCAGGGAGGGACCTGCCATGTCCCATATCCCCTCCCCTGCAGGCTCTTTGAGATGGGCTTTGCTGAGCAGCTCCAGGAGATCATTGCCCGGCTCCCAGATGGCCACCAGACCGTGCTGTTCTCTGCCACGCTGCCCAAGCTGCTTGTCGAGTTTGCCCGGGCTGGTGAGGAGCTGGGGGCTGGGGACGGGGACACGGCACAGTCCCGTAGCCAGGCCGAGCCCAGCACTGGGAAATCCAAGCTGGATTGATGCTGGGCTGGGTGGGTGTCCCCAGCAGCACGTCCCCTGTGTGACCCATGTCCTGTGTGCCACCACAGGCCTCACTGAGCCGATGCTGATCCGCCTGGATGTGGAGTCCAAGCTGAGTGAGCAACTCAAGGTGAGATGGGCTGGGGGAGTTCAGGATGGGCTTTGTGCCCCCTACCCCCTGCAAGCCACCTTCTCCCGAGGAGGGGACAAGGGTGGCAGTGGTGGCACAGGGCTGAGCACTGTCCCCATGCTGCAGCTGGTGTTCTTCCACGTGCGTGGGGACAACAAACCGGCTGTGCTGCTCCACCTGCTGCGCAGCGTGGTGAAGCCCCAGGACCAGACAGTTGTCTTTGTGGCCACCAAGCACCACACAGAGTATCTGAGGGAGGTAAGTGGCATTTGGGGGATGCCCGTGTGAGGCCTGCAGCTGTGGCAGGTCCCTGATGGAATCTCTCCCTCTGTTTCACTGGGTTGAAGGAGAAATCCCATATGTGATCATGGAGGTGGTGTATCCCATTCACCCCTCAGAGAGAGGAGGGAGCACAGTGGGGTTTGGAGGCCCAGGTGGCCACTCCGGAGTGTCTGGCACTGTCTCTGCTGCAGCTACATCCATCCAATCTCTTTTTCTTCCCTTCCCAGCTGCTGACAGCACAGGGCATCCACTGCACCCACATCTACAGCTCTCTGGACCAGACTGCCCGCAAGATCAACATTGCCAAGTTCTCCCAGGGCAAGTGCCCAGTGCTGCTGGTCACCGACGTGGCTGCGCGGGGGCTGGACATCCCCATGCTGGACAATGTCATCAACTTCAGCTTCCCCGCCAAGGGCAAGCTGTTCCTGCATCGTGTCGGTGGGTGCCAGCACCCTCACTCTGTTGTGATATTGAGGGACAGACTGGGGACAAAGCAGTGTCAGTGTCCCTGATGTCCCAGCAGGACTGTAGGGCTTCCCCTTGCCCCTTCCCCAGCCACCCACAGCCCCTTGCCAGCCACGCCCCAGCGGTAAATGTCACGTGTGTAGACTGTCAGGGACACCAGGGAGTCCCTTGCCAGGCTGGGTATGGTTTCCCATTCTCCTCTTGCCCTTGCCAGGCCGTGTGGCCCGAGCTGGCCGGAGTGGCACTGCCTACTCGCTGGTGGCTCCTGACGAGATGCCCTACGTGTTCGACCTCCACCTCTTCCTGGGGCGCCCGCTCGTCCTCGCTGGAGCACAGGAGATGCCTGCTGGTGAGGGATGGCTGTGTGGCCACTGGGGTGTCATCCTTGGCCAGTGCTGCAGTTTGTGGACTTGTGGTGGGCCCTCACACAGAGGGGTGATGGGGAAAATGGGGTGTTGGTGGCTATAATACACCCTGTGTATCATACACCCTGTGTGTGGGGGATGCCGGCTGGGTGTCGAGCTCCCTGGAGCTGTCAGCTCTGCTCTGGTAAATCCAGGATGGGTGCTGGGGAGGTGACACGGTGTCCCCTGGGCTGCAGATGCTGGCGGGGTCCTGGGCCGTGTCCCCCAGAGCCTGGTGGATGATGAGGAATGCCTGCTGCTGACGGACCACGAGGGCTCCCTGGAGCTGCGCAGCCTCCGCCGCATCGCGGACAACGCCCACAAGCAGTACCTGCGCTCCCGGCCCGGCCCCTCACCAGAGTCCATCAAGAGGGCCAAGGACCTGGATGTGTCCCAGCTGGGCATGCACCCCCTCTTCAGTGAGTGCTGAGGGGCTGCTGAGGGAGGGGACCCCATTGTCCTCCCCAGGAAACTGATCTGTGCCCCTCTCCCTGCCTGCCTTCCCCAGGAGCTCGCTTCGAAGACACCGAGCTGCAGAGGCTGAAGTTGGTGGATAGCATTAAAACCTACAAGTCCAAGGCAGTGAGTTGAGACTCCTGGGGTGGGGTGGGGTGGGATGGGCCCATGTGGCTCACTGGGAATCATGCTCCTGCCCTGGGAACAGACCATCTTTGAGATCAATGCCACATCCCGGACACCGGCCAGCTCTGTGATGCGATCGAAGCGGCGCCACGACCGTGCCCTGATCGAGAAGTTCCAGCGTGGGCAGCAGGAGAAGCGGGCAGCAGCACTTAAAGGGCAGGGGCTGTGCCCGGCCCCTCCTGAGCCCCAGGATGGGGAAGGAGAGCAGGAGCACCTCCAGGTAATGGGGTCATGGGTGCAGGAGCTGCTGCAGAGCTGCCTTGGCCCAGTGCTGGCTGCACCAGGCCCCCAGATTTTGCTTGGGGGTTGATGCAGAGACTTGGGGGGATGTGGCTCCCAAACCCCTCCACTGTCCCCATCCAGGATGTGTTCTCCAATGTGGGGGGCCAGAAGCGAAAACAGAGCAATGGAGGAGAAGAGGGTCCTAGGAAGAAGCCACAGCAGCCAGCACAGCAGGATGAGGACTTCTACATCCCATACCGGCCCAAGGACTTTGAGAGTGAGCGGGGGTAAGTCTGGGGGAGTTCCTGCTGCTGTCCCATCCCTGCTGTGTGGGGGCTGCTCTCATCACCCCCCTTTGCAGGCTGAGCGTGGGCGGCGAGGGCAGCGCCTTCGAGCAGCAGGCGGCCGGGGCCGTGCTGGATCTCATGGGCGACGAGAACCACAACCTCAACAAGAGCAAGCAGCTGCTCAAGTGGTGAGCGGGGTTTGCCCATGGGCTGGAGGGAGAATCGGGGCTGGGGGTGGCACTGCTCGGTCCCACCACCCTTGTGTGTCTCGCAGGGACCGCAAGAAGAAGCGGTTTGTGGGGCAGACGGGCCAGGAGGACAAGAAGAAAGTGCGGACGGAGAGCGGGCGCTACATCAGCAGCTCCTACAAGAACAACCTGTATCCTACCACGGGCACTGGGGGAGCAGGGCTGGACCCACGTGTCAGGGCTCCATCCCCAGCCAGGGGGAGGGAGCACAGTCAGACAAGCAGAGTTACAGGGTCAAGTGAGGAGTCCCCACCCGTTCCCTTAACCCCCCCGTCCCAGCTACGAGAAGTGGAAGCAGAAGTACAAGGTTGACGAGCGGGACGAGGATGAGGAAGGGCCACGCAGCAGGGAGCAGTTCAGAGGGAAGCACAAGCGTGGGCACGGTGAGTACCTGAAGAGAGCAACAGAGCCCTGCATTGTTCCCCTCAGCCTGGCCCTGTCCCCTGCCCTGAGCACAGCCGTGTCCCTGTGCAGGGCCCACGCAGCCCCCGGCGCAGGGAAGGGTGCGCTCGGAGCTGAGGAACAAGCAGCAGATCCTGAAGCAGCGCAAGAAGGCGGCCAAGCAGCGCTTCCTGCAGAGCGGGGGCCTGAAGCGCCTCAAGGCACGGAACCGACAGCGGGTGCAGGAGCTGCGGCAAATGGCCTTCGGGCGCCGGGCGGGCGCTGCCAAAAAGGGCAAGCTGAGGAAGAGGATGTAAGGGGCACATCCCCTAAGCCTGGGCTGGGAGTTGGAAAAGGGGACAGTAAACGTTGGCTGGTTTTGCATCCCAGCTCCTCTCTGTCCTTGCTCCAAGCATCGTGCCCCTGTGCCTGGGGTAATTCTTTCCCTAGAGACACAAGAACAAGCAGGTGCTGCAGCTGCACAGTGGGATGTATTTTGATGTGAAATACCTTCAGAGATGCCAACAGCAGCTCCCTCTTCCTCCTCCCTCTGCCTCAGGTGCTCTGTGCAGGAGGGAACCTCAGGAGTGCCCTGGCTCTGCCCGGGTGTGGTGCCTCCCCAGTGTGCCTGTGCCACTGCCATTCGTGTTGCCTCTTGACATGGGCTTTCCAGACTTGCAGGGAATTACCTCTGTCCCCAGGGGTCCTGTGGCACCGTGCTGGCCCTGGCAGGTTCTCCCCAGCCCCAGGAGCAGGCAGGTGTCCCCAGGGGCTATCCCTGGTCCTGAAGCAGCCTGGCAGTGCCGTGGTGCTGCGGGTGTGTGCCAGTGGCACAGATGTCAGCCAGGCCCTGCATGCAGAGCAGCACCTGTGGAGATAGGAGCCTGATGCCACAGCCAGCCAGGGATGTAAATGTCCCTGTGTCCCCAGCCCCACTGTCCCGAGGAGAGAGTTGTGCTGACCATGTCCAACTGGGCCTTTGTGTCTTCCTGGCCTTGATTGATGGGGATCTTGAGCTCTGCAGTGATTTGCTGGAAGAGGTTCAGCACAGCCAGCCTGATCTGCCCCAGCAGCAGGGTCTTCTGCATGGCTGTGCTCTGGATGTGGGTCCAGCAGGACTCCTGAGGGACAGAGTGAACCCCTGGCCACTGCCCTGTGTCCTTCTGCACCCCAGGCCAGGCCAGGGAGACCCAGGAGCCCTGGCTGTGTATCCTCCCCATTTCAGAGCTGCTGCTTTTTGGGTATGTGGGGATCCTCAGTTCAGCCCAGAGGCTGCAGCCCAACCTGGCCCCGCTGCCTGGGGGTCCTTGGGCACCCCACATCCCCCTTACCCACTGCAGCACGTCTTGGTGGGCAGCCTCCAGGCGTGTGTGGAGCCGGGCCAGCTCATCCCTGGTGCCCTGGAGCTGGGTGCTGGCCTCCTGACGGTACCGCTGGAGCTGTGACCTGCCCTGGGCCAGCAGCTCCTGCCCGGCTTCTGCCTCCCGTGCCAGGGCTGCCCGCACCCCCGCCAGCACCCCAAAATGCTCCAGCATGGCCGGCACGTCCTGGAACTGGGCAGTGGGTGACAACTGAGAGGCCGCAGGGCCGGAGGGACGACCCTTCCAAGGGGCTCTTGGGGACACGCAGGGTGGCACCGCGGGACCCCACGCTCACCTGCCCCATCCTGGTCAGCACGTCTCGCAGGTAGTCCCCGAAGGGCCGGAGGCTTCGCAGTCGCCGGGCCAGGCGCTCCCTGCGCCGCAGCAGCTGCTCCAGCTCCCGCTGCAGCCGGGCAGCCTCGGCCCGCTCTGCCGCCGCCCGCTCCCGCTGCTCGCCCGCCCGGCGCTCCGCCCGCTCCCGCCTGGCCGCCACCGCCTGCGCCGCGGGCACGGGCTCAGCGGCCACCCTCCGGCCAGCCCGGCCCCGGGCCCCAGCCCCGCACCTTGAGGAAGGACTCAAAGCTGAGCACGGCTTCGCGGTGCTGCTCTCGCCTCCGGGCCAGCTGCTGCCTGCGCTGCGCCAGGCGCTGCATCCGCCGCTCAAACTCCTGTGGGATGGATTGCAGGGTGCCGAGAGCATCGCCCCACGCTCGGGCAGCCCGGGGTGCGGCCCGTGGGTAGCTGGGGACGGCCCTGCCGGCAGCCTTGTTCCCGTGGCACACCTGCAGAGCCCGGGGAGGGGATGCTCGGGCCGCCCTCACCTGCCGCTGGTTCTGCAGCTCCCGCTCCGCCTCCGCCACCTCCCGTCTCTTGAGGAGCACACGAGTGGAGGGCGGGAGCGTGGCGGGCTCCCGTGTCCTGCCACGGGCTGCCTGCAGCTCGGCGGGGCTGGGGAGAGAAAGCCTGGGCAGAGCATCCACCACGGACAGGACTCCCACGGGCCACCGCTGCCCCCGGGGTTCCTGCCCACCCCTCCCACTTCAGCCTCCCCCACTTGGAGACCCCCAGCATCAGTGCTGGTCCCCAGGGAAGGAGAAGTCACACCACAATCTCAACTTTCCTGTTAGAACCCGGGGAATCCCCCTGCCTCCCCCCAGCCCATGGCTGCAGTGCCCTCTCCTCCCTGGGAGCCTCTGATGGGGAAGGACACTGTTCCCACCCACTGGGGACAGTGACACCCATCCTGGCAGTGGCACCCGGAGACGGGAACACAAAGGACATCACGGGGCACACAGGACATGCTGGCCTGGTTGCCAGCCCTTCGGTCACTTGCCGGGGGAGGGCAGAGGGCTCTCACTCACAGCAGCCGCAGCTTGTCTCGGAAAGCCACTCGGAACCGCTCCTCCAGCTCCGAGTCCATCTCGGCCGGTGCCTCCTCCCCGCCCAGGGGCCTGCGGAGGAGCTGGGAGCGGGACAGCCGAGCTGCTGGCAGTACAACAGAGTTGCCAGGGGCAGCCAGAGGCTCCCGCAGCTCCCTGGGATTTTCCTGGCTGGGCTCCGAGCGCCGCTGCGAGGGCGCGGTGCTGGGCACAGGGAACGCACCAGGGCTGCTTGCAGGGAGGCTCCCCCTCTCAGCCCTCAAGCCATCCCATCTTTCCACCCACACTCCGTTCCCTCCAGCCCTCAGACCCAGCTCCAGCCCCTCAGATCCCTCCATTCAGGCTCCATGGCCCTCCAGAGACCGCTGTCCCCACCCCTCCCTGTCCCCCTCAGCCTGCCCCAGCTCCCCCTGCTCTGACACCCCAGGGATGGCTCAGCCCCCGAGACTTCACCCACAGTGCAGATCCTGCTTCTCTCCGTGTGTCCCACGAGTGCTTCCCTTCCACTGCATGGGCCATCAGACCCCCCTGCCACCCCCCGTGTGCTGTCAGGTCCCCTTTGTCCCCCCACATGTGTGCTCATGACCCCATTACCCTACACCCACACTTGATGAGGAACAGATTTAACTCCTGACTTGGACACAGAGCAACACTGCAGAAGGAACAGGGGAAAAATATTTATAATACAAATAATTCTGCCTCTCCAGAGTGACTGTCACTCATGTCCTGCCCACACACCCCTTGCTTCTTCCCTTGCCCCAGGACCACTGCAGCCCCATGGTGATTTTCTCCATCCCACAGCTACTCATGGGGACTGAGCCAGAATCCCCTCTTGGAACTCGAGTTCATCACAGGCATCTAAGTGAGGGGGTTCCCCATTCTGCCTGTGCTGGGTGTCACCTTGTTTTAGGGACACCAACGACAAGAAGGAAAATGGAAGAGGAGAGAAAAAATGGAGAAACATGGCTGGGGAAGGACGGAGTGAAACTGTGGAAGGGGCAGGTGGAGAGAGAGGTGGGAAGGCTCTGCCTGAAGTGTCCTGAGACAGGACATTGACAGCCTGTGCTCAGCCACACACAGTGAGGGGCCAGCTTGATGCTGGATTCCAGCTGGAGCTCCGTGTGCTTCCTCAAGGAGGAATAGAAGCTATGAGCCTCCTGTCTCTTCTCTCACTTCCTGTGGAGAGACCCCGCCATGGAGCTCGTCATCATCACCTACACAGGGCACAGAGCAGCAGCATCTCAGCTACAACAGCCATCAAGAATTCCTCCCTCCCTGGCAGCTGCTCTGGGAACACCCACAGCTCAGCAGGGAGCAGGTGGTTCCTCACCTTCCATGAGGTGGTTCAGGTGAGCAGCCGGGGCCCTGCTCCCACCGACCAGCGCCATGGCCTCGTGCTCGGTGCAGCTGCTCAGGGCCTCCTCAGACCCCTTCCCCTCCTCGTCATCTTCAGAGTCCACCAGCACTAGGACATCCCCCGAGCCTGCATTCCTGGAAACAGCAGAGCAAGCTGGATAAAAGGCAGAGGGGAGCCTGTTTCCTGCCCTACAGGAAGACTGAGTAGTGATGCCATAAGGGACTGGGCTGAGGAATGTCAACTCACCTGAATGCAGCACCTGAACAGGAGAGAAAAGAGAGACAGCATTAGAAACTGCCCCTCTGGGAGTGCCACTGGTTTTACTGGATTGGACAACCCCTGCCAATCCTGCCTCCACCACATCTGTGCCTCCTCTAGACGCTCACTGGCAGTCCCATGCAGAGGCACAGACACAGAGGTGACATGCCCAGACACAGCACAGGCAACCCTGGCTGACTCCAGCACAGGGTTAGGGATAAAGCTCCAGGAAGGAAGAACCAATCCCTACCTCTGAGGCACAGGAGGGGATTGTAGTACAACACAACCCCAGTGATGGTGAGAACAGCCAGGAGGGACAGGACCACCACAGCACCCACGACCCCAACGATGTTCACTGGCTCTGCAGAGAGGGGACACAGATGGATGAGGAATTCTCAGTGCAAGCCAAAGAGCAGGTGTGCTGTGTCCCCAGGCCCTCCTGCCACAGCCCCACTCACGCTTCACCGTGAGGCAGACGAAGAGCTCCCTGAGCCCCACGGGGTTCTGGGCCTTGCAGACGTAGCAGCCGCCGTCAGTGCCCTGGGAGCAGTTCTGGATGGTGAGCCGGGACACGTTGCCCTCCTGGGCGATGAGGAACCTCCCCCCAGGCTGGATCTCCACTTCGGGCTGGCTGATGTCCCGGAGCCAGCTGAGCCGAGCTGCAGGGGTGCTCTCTGTCACCCGGCACGTCAGGGTCACATTGTCACCCACAAAGCAGGTCTGGGGGGGCTCAGATTCCAGGGAAGGGAGTTCTGAACAGCCCCGGGGGAAAAGAAAACAAAAACAGCAGTCAAGGAGGGAATGGAGGCAATTAACATAACGAGCAATCAAGCTTCTGGCTGATTAATAATCATTAACAGAAGGGAGGCAGGCAGGAGTCTGGGAGTTGAGCTCCATGGGTTTGGCATTTGGCTCACTCAGGAGCCTCCCAAGGAGTGACCTGACCAGCTTTCATGGTGCTCAGTCCCTTCTGACACCTGCCTTCATATCCCCAGGGAAAAATGGTCTGAGGGCAGCCAGCAGGCAGAGGAGAAGAGCAGCCCAAGCATTATTTTCCTCGGGATCAGCAAAGCTCTTGTGAAGCCTTGACAAGCCTTGGAGGATAAATACAGCCCAGATTTTCATCAGCCACTCAGATCCCCGAGATGCCTGAAGGGAACACACAACCCCTTAAACCCAACCCTATCAAACCTCATCTGCCCACAGCCCCCAAACCACCTCTCACTTTCACACCGGTGTGTGGAAGCTTTCCACAGGTGAAAACGCTGCTGGGGTGAAATTTGTTGGCTCCGGAAGATGGGCCCAAAACACAGCTCACATAAAACTCTGCTGTGATGGGTCTCAGCTGCAGGTCATCTGTGCCTCGTGCTGCACACGTGCCCTGCCATGCTACCTCCTCGTTTCCCTGACCTCCTCAGTGCTCTGGAGAGCAGGGAATGACCAGGGTACCCACCTGCCCCATGTTCACCAGCTTCATTAACAGTTTATGAGGCAGCAAATCCACTCACTTATCTCCACAGTGCAGGCAGGCTGCTCCTGTTTCACCACATGGCTGCCCACACACTTGAAGACCTTTTGGTGGGAGAGGTGGGAGCTGTTCAGCGTCTCCACGTGGGTGTCCGAGGAGCTGGTGGAGCTGATGACCCAGCTGGAGTTCTCCAAATCCTGCCCCTCTTCTCTCCAGTGCAGGGTGGGGTGGGGGTACCCCCCAGGCCAGCTGCAGAACAGCTGCAGCATCAGCCCCGATGAGGAGGTCTCAGCCCAGCACTTTGGGGTTGCCTGTGGTGGATCTGCCAGCAAGGACAGCACGAGGTCAGAAACACTTGCAGGGCTGGAATTCATTTGTGGTCATTCCCCTTGAAAAATCTTTCCTGTTTCCCTGCAAGTCTTGCTCCCTGACCTGCATCCCACAGATGTGCACAGCTGTAAGTGACAGCCAGCAGGGACCAAGAGGGGCTGTCACAGTCCCCACAGCCAAGCCTTGAGGGAGGGAAAATATTATTGCCACAGCTTTATCCAATGAAATGAGATAAACACAGCGGGAGAATGAAATCCCACTGCCCTGGTCCTCATGGCACAGTTCAGGGAGGGACACTGAGTCATCACTTGAGAACAAGGCACAGTCCTGGCTCTCTCCCAGCTGCTCCTTCCACACACATGCTGATTTAACAGCCAGAGGGATTCTGGACTCTGATCCAGGCAGAATTAACAGGGCATGCCCCTGTGTGTGCCTAATGCTGAACAAGACCCCACCAGGAGATCAAACCAAAGCCCCACACCAGAGGTGTCAGAGGGATGTCTTAGGCTTATTTTGGGGAGCATTTATTCAGGGGACTTTGAAACCACTTGAATTAATTAAAGAAACATCATGGCAAACTCTCATGTGAGCTGCAAGAACACACCTTCCTTCCCAGGGCTTGGCTCTCCAGAAACTGTACACACACCTCAGGTGATCTTTGAAACCACCCAGCTCTGGCAAGAAAGCTCTCTGCAACACTCCCTGTGTCCCACCTCTGGGGAGGATCAAACTGTTCCCAAACCCTGCCTGTGGTTAACAGGGCATCCTGTCAGCCTGAACCAGCAGAAACTGCCCCACGTGGATGGGGCACAGCCCCTCCAGGATGGCCAGTCAGAGCTGTGCTTTCTGTGCTGACCTCAGGAACAGTCTCCTGAAGCCATCAGCTTTACATCCTGAACTCCCAGGCTCTCCCAGCACAACTCTGCCTAAATAAATCTGCTCCCACAAAGTTAACAAACCAAAAGCCTATGAATGTCCACCCTCCCAAACACCAGCAAAAAGGACCTGTTGTGGTTTGACCCACAGAAGAGCCAACAGTGCTTGCATCAATCCACACACAGATGTGCCAAGGAACCCCTGGAGGTGTGGAACTGCAGTCTCCTTCACAGGTGCTTCCCATCCAAAGCAAACACAGAATCACAGCCCAAGGCAGGGCTGCACCTTTGTCCTGTCACTAGAATGTTTACTCTACTGCTTGTGGGGTTTTCAAAGTGCACTTTTGCAAACAAAAAGAGAACTTTTTGGTACCACCCATGGGATGCATTGAAGACTGTCAGCTGGTTATTCCCACACAAAACCTCTACATATCCTGGGAGGCTCTTCCACAGCAGTGCCAAGTCTGTGTCCAAAATCTGCCCCAGGATTAAATGTTCCAGCAACAGAGATTGGTGAAAAAACAGGACCCTGCTACAGGTCAGAGGTTAAACTTCTAACATTTGCTGATGCTCCTCCTGCTGACCTAAAGCATTTCCAGAAATCTCTTTCCTCACCTATCAAAGGGTATGCCCACATCACCTTTGTCATATTTGGAAATTAGTTGACACAATTAATTCCAGACTAACAAATGAAGGTCAGAGTGCAGCACCAACACTTGGCACCCTGAGTGTTCTGCCCCAGTGCCCCAGATT